TAAATTTCTCATCTTTACTGAAGTGTAAATTGATTTTCCCTTAATATATATGCTTATGTGATATATTTATTGTATATTATATTTCATACTTTTTTCCAGAAAATTATTTCTGATTTCTAATTTTGCTCTTTTCTTAATGTTAAATTCATTTACATGGTTTTGATATTTTAGCTTAACAAATTTTATTAGTTTCATTTTAGCAAATTCTCTCAAAACACCCAAGTTATTTAAGTTTGGAATTACAGTTATTTAAAGAACTTCCAACAGGCTCATTGAAGGATTTTATCAATTTAAATACTCAATTCTTTAGGGTATTTAAAATGTTTACTTTGGAGACTTTTTTGAAATAGCGTTTAACATACCAAAAAGGAAGAGTTCTTGTCCTAAATAGGTTTTAAAAAAAAAAAAAAGGATTTTTGAAATGGAAAGTAATAAAGATGTTTCCCCCACTGATTAAACAGCAGTGTATTTTAATTATATACAATTTCAGAAAATACATAAAAAATATAAAGAAGTGAATAAATATCACAAGCAATTCTTTCTTTTTATCACTCCAAAAAGAAACCCTGTACCCATTAGTACTCACTTCCCAAACTGTAATTCAGACAAGCATGTGGTAATTGCTGTATGGTGCTTGGTTGTGCTGACACAACCTAACATTTGAATTTTGAGCAAGAGAATGCCATTTTCCAAACATTATTTTACAAATATTAATATGAAATAAATGTGTACAATGAAATAAAAAGGAGAGATTAGAAGCAGGGTTACAATTTAAAGGACTTCCCTCTCCTTCAGTCCTCACCCCATACAATCAAACCCTAATGTAGTAAGAGTCTGAACTTGGGTGGACAGAGGGAATGGCAATACAGCCTTTATACTCTTTTTTGTCCAAGCTGTGCCTTCCTCCTCTGTTTTGCTTATATATTCCATCAAAGCTGAGCTCAGGAATCACTTCTCCTGTCCAGCCTTATTTTATCACCTCCAGGATGAGTTGATTCTCCTCTCTCTTTCTTCAACACTCAGAGCATTTCCTCTCTGTAATTACTGGTTTACTTACCCATCTCCCTCGATAGTCTTTGATAGCTGACAATGGCCTGTGCACCAAATTCAGCCCACTATCTCTGTAAATAAAGTTTTATTAGAACACAGCTAAACTTATTTGTTTGGATATAATCTACGGCTGTTTTGTGCTACAGTAGAAGAGACAGAGACTTGCAAAGCTTAAACTATTTACTGTCTGACCATTTACAGAATAAATTTGCTGACCCCTGGTCTATGAGCTCTTTTATTAACTTTTTTTTGCCAGTGCCTGCACATATCTAGTACATTGTCGGTGCTAAATAAATTTTATCGCGTTAAAAAGAAGTACAGATATAGGAAATATGGTAATGAAAGAACCCTGTCTGTGAAATGAGGCATGGGTGATTTTTACTGGTAGTCTTCATAATAGTAAGACTCAAGTGAGCTTAATTTTCATCTCCTTTTTGTACTTTTTCCTGACTCTTCCCTGGTTAAATTAATTGCTCTCTTGTCACACATATATCTGTTATAAAACTTATGCATTTATTATAGGTATTTGTTTATGAATGTATTTCCACCACTATATGAACCCCTGAAAGTCAGAGAACCGTATTTCATTTTTCTACTTAAAACGCCTTGTGTGAATATGGAAAGGAACTTAAAATTTTATGCAGTCTTCTACGTATCTATAGAAGTGAACTGAGAAGTCTTTTTTTTTAAAGAAAATTATTTTAAAAATTAATTTTAGATTATTTTAAATGTAATATTCTTTTTCTAAAAAACTACTGAACAGATAGAGTAAAAAGTAAAGCTGTTCTCTTTATTCCGTCTTCTGCAAATCCACGTCCCTGAGGTAAACAGTATGAACTGCTGGCTGTCCTTCTCTGTGCTTCCTTTCTTCATCTTTCCTTCCTGCACACAAACACGATTATATAGAGTTGATAGTTTGTATATGTAGGTATATTTGTGTATGTGTTTTTTGGCCTTTTTTCCTCCGTAATTTGCCTTTTCAGTCGATTGTGCATTTCTTATTTTGGCTGCCAGTATTTTTCTCAGTGATTTGGAAGAACTTTTGCATATTTGAGAATTAGCAATCTACCAATTATGCCGCAGATATTTTCTCAAATTATTATTAAACTTGATTATATATTTTGCCATGCAGATG